ATTCAGTAGGCAACATTATGGCAGTGCGGAAACGCTGCTGGAGTTCAGAGTTGATGAAAACATGGGGACTGACCGTCTGTTCTCTATAGTTCATTTCTTCTTCTCTTCTCCCTTTGTCCAGGGATACTGTCTTCTACTTCCTCTGAAGGGTTTAAAGGTACAAACTGTTGCATAGGGGTGTGACCATATCTCGAAATGATTCTTGGTTCTTTGTGCCTATGCTTCACAACCCTGTGAGTTTTCCTCTATCTCAACTAGTACTGATGCCAGTTAAGGCCTGGCCTTTGAGTCCTCTCCAGTATGTCTTATCAGAAAGAAGAGCTAATTTCCTGAAAAACATACCAACATAACTAGACAGTTGAGGACTATAACTGCCTCAAAAAAAAAAAAAAAAATCAGTAGACTGATGACATACATGATATAAAGAAGAATTATTAGAACAGATGAATGGCTGGACGTGGTTGCTTCAAGCCTGTAATCCCAGCACTTTGGGAGGCTGAGGCGGGCAGATTTCCTGAGGTTGGGAGTTCAAGACCAGTCTGACCAACATGGAGAAACTCCATCTCTATTAAAAATACAAAATTAGCCAGGTGGGGTGGCACGTGCCTATAGTCCCAGCTACTTGGAGACTGAGGAAGGAGAGTTGCTTGAACCCTGGAGACAGAGATTGCGGTGAGCCAAGATGGCACCATTGAACTTAAGCCTGGGCAACGAGCGAAACTCCGTCTCAAAAAAAAAAAAAAAAAACCAACCACACAAACAACGGGTGAACCAAGATGCTTTAAAATAAGCATGATGAATATACTTAAAGATGTAAGGCAGCATGCTATTAATAGGAAATAAGATCCAAACATTGTAAAAACAGAACCATATGGAAATAGTAGATATGAAAAATATAATTAAATGAAGGCTACAACAAATAGGATGGTAAGAGTGAATTAATCAGTTGGAAGATTAGAAAGTACACTCTTCCGGGAAAAAGCAGGAAAAAAAAGATAAATAGAAAATAGAGTAGAAAAACTAAGGGAAATAGAGAATTGTTTTACTAGTGCCAGCATCTTAAAAGGAGTTCCAGAAAAAGAGAGAAATAAAAATGTAAGAAGGTGGCCAGGCACAATAGCTCACACCTGTGACCCCAGGCCAAGGTGTGGTGGATCACCTGAGGTCAGTTCAAGACCAGCCTGACCAACATATTGAAACCTTGTCTCTACTAAAAATACAAAAATTAGCCAGGCTTGGTGATGCATGTTTGTCCTCCCAGCTACTTGGGAGGCTGAGGTAGAAGAAATCACTTAAACCAAGGTGGCAGAGGAGGTTGCAGTGAGCTGAGATCATGCCACTGCACTCCCGCCTGGGCAACAAGAGTGAAACTTTGTCTCAAAAAAAAAAAAAAAAAAAAGAAAGGTGAAATAATTGAAGAAATAATGGAGATACACTTCTGAAAATTCAAAATTGATGAAAGACTTCAAATTGGCTAAAGAGGTCATAGTGTACCAAATAGAACAAATAAAGGAAAGCGCATACCTAAGCAGATTAAAGTAGAATTAAGAATAGCAGAGAGAAATTTCTGAAAGATTTGAGAGAGAAAAAGCAGATGACCTGTAAGGGAATGAGAAGGTAGACATGTGACAGTTGAACAGCAATGTGGAATGAGAAAAAACAATAGAGTTTAAAAGTAACCAAAGAAAACAACTTTGAACCAAGAAATTTAAATCTTCCTTTCAGATGTGAGGGTGACATAAAATTTTCTCAGGCATGTTTGCCTTGGTACATTTGCCATATGGAGACCCATTTGGAAGCAGGCTCAGTGAAAACTAAATCTAGGAAATGCTAGAAGTATGTGATAAATGATGATCAAAATTTGTTGTTGCCCGAAGAAAAACACTAGGACCAATATTCTAGGTCATAAAACCCTGGTGGAGAGGGGAAATGGGACACTGTATAAATTTAGCTATTGTGATTAGACTATAGAGAAGAAACTATTCTATATTATTAACACTAAAATGTCATATACAAGGCTCAAGAGTTAATCTTGATTTTCTTTCCTGTTCCTGTGTCATATGTCATTGCCACTGTCTCTTATATCTCATGCCATCTTCTTTCTTGGTTTCCTTTTTTGTTTTGTTGGACTATCTCCTCAAAGAGGTTTGGTTTTTTTTTTCATATGTAGTCATAAGTATGAACTTTAAAATTCTCTTAATTTACCCTCGTTAATATTGCTAGTTTAACTGGAAATGGCTGTTGTAGGTGAAAACAGCCGTAGACAACACGTAAATGAATGGGCATTGCCTGATTTGACTCTGAGCAGGCCAGGTCAAGCCACTGTTTGCCAAGCCATGTTATAAAAGTTTTAATTCAAAGGCTTATAACAAGACAAAACAGAATAAAGAAATTTAAGTGCAATAAATTTAGGCAGTTACACCCCTCACTTCTACCACTTAGGAAAGTAATGCTGGTTCTTCACTGTTTTATCTTTCAAAGTTATCTGAGGAACAGAGATCAGAACCTCAGCACATCACTTCTGAAGGTTTACCATGTCTTATTAAGAAAATACAACTGTCCCTTTGCATCCTGGTGGGACTGGTTCCAGGACCTCCCTTGGATGCCAGCATCCTCAGATGCTCAAGTCCATAATACGGTATAACCTATGCACATCCCCTCCTATGCTTTAAGTCATTTCTAGGTTATTTATAATACTTGATGCAATGTAAATGCTATGTAAATAGTTGTTTTAAGGAATAATGACAAGAAAAAAAAGGTCAGTACATCTTCACTGCATATGCAGCCATTTATGGGTTTTGTTTTTTGTTTTGGGGGATTTTATTCGAATATTTTAAATTTGTAGTGGTTTGAATCCTTGAACACATAACGCAGGGATATGGAAATTTGATTGTACCAGGCTTTACATACATTAAAGATTGTGGCATGAGAGTTTAGGCAATTATTAAGGTCAGATTGATGTATGTGTGTGTATAAATATAAAAATAAATAGTGTATGTGTATAAATTATATATTATGGTCTGTGTGTGTGTATAATTTTATATTTACTGTGGAATACATTTGGATAGTCTTTAAAATGTCCCAAATTTATTGAGTAGGAATGTAAAAGGACACATGAATTTAAGGTAGACCAGGAAAAAATAAATACTGCATTATTTGGTTCCACTGAAGTAGGTAAAGAAGACCAAAATCAATATGGCTGGCATCTCCTGCCGTACATAGTATTCTAGGTTGACGTAAATATTTCACTGAAGTCTGATGTTTGTTTAGCTTTTTGAGCATGTGATAATTGTTCATGGGTTAAAAAAAAGGTAAAAACAATGCCATTTTTTAGATCATGACAATTACTGTTGTGAAGTAGCTGAGTTCATAGAATGCACTTTATATATATGAAATTATATTTCAAGTAATATTTTCAAATAAGAATAAGAAAAATTGGCATTTGCCATATCAGTGTTTTACAAATTATTGGATAATGCAGAATGATCACCACTTATTTAATAGATTTCTTAGAAAAATACAACATTATTAACTTTGGGGAGTTTAAGCCACTCAGGAAAACAAAATGGCATATTATAGCCCAGAATTTTCATTTATTTATTTATTTATTTATTTATATTTTCTTTAGAGACAGGGTCTGACTCTGTTGCTCAGGCTGGAGTGCAATGGCACAGTCATAATTCACCACAATTTCCAACTCTGGGGGGAATCTTCCCACCTCAGCCTCCCAGATAGCTTGACTGATTTTAATTTTTTGTAGAGACAAGGTCTCACTATATTGCCCAGGCTGGTCTTGAGCTCGTAGCTTCATATGATCCTCCCACCTTGGCTTCCCAAAGCACTCGTATTATAGGCATGAGCCACTGCACCTGACCCAGAATTTTAAATTTTATTTTTCGGAAGTTACTTCTGTTTTATGACTTTTTTTTTTTTGAGATGGAGTTTTGCCCTTGTTATCCAGGCTGGAGTGCCATGGCACGATCTCGGCTCACTGCAACCTCCGCCTCCTGGGTTCAGGCAATTCTCCTGCCTCAGCCTCCTGAGTAGCTGGGTTTACAGGCATGTGCCACCTATGCCCAGCTAATTTTTTGTATTTTTAGTAGAGACGGGGTTTCACCATGTTGACCAGGATGGTCTCTATCTCCTGACCTTGTGATCCACCCGCCTCGGCCTCCCAAAGTGCTGAGATCACAGGCGTGAGCCACTGCGCCCGGCCTATGACATATTTTTAGTGACTTTGACCTTATTAAGCAACTCTGTGTTTCACCTTTTGTCAAATTTTTTTCCCCAGGGTCAAGATTTGAATATTTAATCTTTACTGTCAAATTACAGATAATAAATCCATTAATTAAAGCATTATCCTTTCCTTCCTTTTGTAAAAAGTGGTTATATTGCATACCTCTTTCTGCTTTTTTTCCTCTAGCTGGCAATTGACATTCTTTCAGTCTTTCCACAAATCGTTTAGTATTTGTTATATTCCAGGCACTATTTTAGGTACTGGAAACAAAATAATGAACAAAACAGCCTCTTTTCTTTCCAAGCTCATAGAGTAAGGAGCAGGCAATATATAATTGTTTATTGTTTAATCAAAAAGTTATGTAGTGTGTTAGAAGTTATGTATGTAGACACATAGTGCAGGATAAAACTGTATTGATCTTTTAAAGAGAAAGTAGTAGGGGCTGGGTGTCGTGGCTCATGCCTGTAGCACCAGCCGTTTGGGAGGATGAGGCAGGAATATTGCTTAAGGCCCAGGAGTTTGAGACCATCCTGGGCAACGTAGCAAGACCCCCATCTTTACAGCTGGGACATGCCTGTAGTCCCAGCTACTTGGGAGTCTGAGGCAGAAGGATCCTTGTAAGTCCAGGAGTCCTAGGCTGCAGTGAGCCATGATTGTGCCACTGCACTTCAGCTCGGGCAACAGAGTGAAACCTTGTCTCTTTAAAAAAAAAGTGCTAATCTAATGGGAATGTTTTCATCTTGTTTTTTTCTTTAATTTATAGTTCCAATGACAGGATTTACACAGAGAGCAACTATTGATCCAGAACTGAATGAAATACATGTCTTATCTGGACTCAGCAAAGATAAGGAAAAGAGGGAAGAGAATGTTAGAAATTCATTCTGGATTTACGACATTGTGAGAAATAGTTGGTAAGGAACTCTTGTCTCTGCTGCAATCCCAGTGTAACAGTTATTTGAGATTGTTGGTTTATTCAAAACAAGAGAGAAATGAGAGTTTTATGTTGATTTGTGACATTGTACATTTAAAGGTCAGTATTGAAAAAAAGTATCGGTACCTATGTATACGATGACGTTCAGTGAATGGATTTTACCTGTGTTTTTCAATTGGTAGGTGGTTCCTGGTCTGGGACTTGGGAGAATTGTATTTTAGTCTAGGTTCTGTTCTCAAGTAGATGTGTGAACTTGAGAACGATGCTTTTTTAATGTTCCCAGATCTTAGTTTTCATATTATTGTCCCCTCCCTGCTTAGTCAAAACAAAGAGGTTTGACTATAGCAGGGAGGAGACAATAATATTTAGCATTTTCAAACCATGACTTTTGTGTCGTAGAGCATCTCACAGAACTGGTGCTGCATATTTTGCTTTGGGAAAACATGGATCCAGCATTTATGTGATTGCTCCATAAGTGAATATTGTGCAGAACAGAAGCACTTCAGAGAACTTCTCCATTCAGTAATGGAGAGTAATGCTCTGCAGCTAAGGAATTTATTATTTCTAAATAGGACATTTGTTTACAGTCAAATGATAGAAATGTATATTGTCCATCTTTTTATTGTGCTTACATGGACAAGATAGCACCTCTTTCAATCTTAGTTTGAGCTTTCATGTATGCTGTTTGTATTTTATAAAACAGTTAGTATATGTGAGCTGTTTGATGGACATCAGAAGAACTTTAGAACTCAGTTCTAACAAATTCAGATTGTTTTATCAACGACTAGAACTTTAAGATTTGATATGAACACATTACTAAAATTTTTTGTTAGTAATTAGACATGTAATTAATTTGCTTGCTACAGTTGTATTATCTTTGCTGCAAATTCTCTAGGGTAGAATGCCTTAAAAGCAATGTCTTGCAGGTCTTGTGTCTATAAGAATGATCAAGCTGCAAAGGATAATCCAACTAAAAGTCTTCAGGAAGAAGAACCATGTCCAAGGTTTGCCCATCAGCTTGTATACGATGAGCTACACAAGGTATCCTAACTAGAATGACCTGTAAACTTTCCATGGCCTACTGTCTGAAATAATTTCCAAATGTAGCTTTCTGATTGTTTTAAACTGGATTTGAGTAAAAAGTTATAATACATAGTAGACATTGAATAGAGTATGTAGCATTCAATATCACTTCTCCCTAAAATTCCTTAAGAGAATGAGCATTTTTACATAGCCTGTAATTCTTGGTACTTTTCCTTTTTTGAAAATAGTCAGTGGCTGCTTCTTAGCTATATAAATCTAGATACATGACATAGCCTATTGTTTCTACGGTGTGAATAGCCGAGTAAAAGATGTACAGTTGTCAGCATGTGGGTACCTTGTTTCATGATATAAACATAGTTTTGATTTTAGATTTTCCCATTGTGTAAGAAGTCTTTTTATCTTTATTTTCCTGATATACTAATGATATCTCTTTCAAATCAGCCTTGTGAAAAAATGGTCCTGTGTTATGAATTTTTAGTGTCATAGTGTTGAGAGTTATTTCTATATTTCTCCCTTAAACTTAACTGTGTACTTTAGCGATTGGACTTATATAGTAAATTACGGACAGAGACCAATTCTTTCTGTTTAGCCATGGATGATTATTTAAATTCTACACGATATACTTTGAGACCTTTAGGTAAAAGATACCATGGGAGTGAGTAAAAGCCCTTTCTCTTATAGCCTCTCAATTTAAGGTATAAATAAATTTCCATCTAAAGGATAGGAATAACTCTATTATGTAACACCAATGAATATAAGTGTTTTCAAAATTTTTGGAACTATTTTAATTTAATAAATTAAATATTAATTTTAATTAAAATAGTTAAATATTTAAATGCCTTGTTTAAGTACAGAATAACATTCAAGTGCAATTAATTTAGGCAGTTATACCTCTCACTTCTACCACTTACAAGCATGATTTCATTTCTTCACTGTTTCATCTTCCAGAGTTATCTGAGGAACAGATAACTCTAATTTAGTAATAATGAAATCATTATCAATTCCTTTTGCATTTCATTTTTGGTATTGAATTATGAAATAATGTTTTTAATGTTATTTAACAAATTTGATGTGCCATTTAATACTTGGCATTTCAGTTAAAGCAAAATTAAGATGTTAATCTTTTTTATTTTTTATTTTTATTTTTATTTTTGAGACAGAGTCTTGCTCTGTTACCCAGGCTGGAGCGCAGTGGCGCGATCTTGGCTCACTTGTAACCTCTGACTCCCAGGTTCAAGTGATTCTTTTTCCTCAGCTTCCGCAGTAGCTGGAACTACAGGCGCATGCCACCACCCTATAGCCTGGCTTATTTTTTATAGTTTTAGTGGAGGTGGGGTTTCACCGTGTTAGCCAGATGGTCTTGATTTCCTGATCTCATGATCCTCCTCCCTCGACTTCCCAGAGTGCTGGGATTACAGGCATAAGCCACTGCACGCAGCCTAAAACTTTTTAAAGTGTCTAGTTGACCTGTCGATGACTGTTAACTTTTAGTGATTCAGCCTTATGTCAGAATTTTTTAAGATATTTGTTATATGATCAATATTTTGATTAATTTTATCATCCTCATTATTGTCGTCAGCAAATGATATCTTGGATCAAATTCTTCCTATCATTGTTTTTGTTTCATGCCTTCCACTATCATTGTAATATAGTAATATAGCTCATTTTAGTGTGCATGCAGTTTTTTAAAGTAACCAAGGTGCTTTAAAGTAAAATAGAAACTGAGAAAAATCAAGAGAAGCTTTGGTAAAAATACAGTATAATTTATAATTTTTTTATTTAAATAGGCTTTATGCACAGCTACTAAAATTTCTTGGGTATGCATGAATATTTTTAAATCTGGTTTATTTTGCTAATTATAGGTTCATTATTTATTTGGTGGGAATCCAGGAAAATCTTGCTCTCCAAAGATGAGATTAGATGACTTCTGGTCACTGAAGTTGTGTAGACCTTCAAAAGATTATTTACTGAGGCATTGCAAGTACCTCATAAGAAAACACAGGTATGAGAATAATTCACTGAAAACTTTTAATTAACATTATCAGCTATTGCTGATGTCACCTAGCTTTGGAGATACAACTTTCTTGGCAAATTTAATAATGAAACAGTATGAATACTGTGAAGATCATGAATTTTGTAAATGCCCTATTATTCTACTTATTTTTGCTTTTCTTTTTCGAAGGAAGATACAAAATATAGATATTGATAACATTTGTAAATGCAGAACAAGTGAAATTTTGCAACTGTTAAAGTAATGGAAAAAAATTTTTGTGAAGGCGATGTGCCTACATTGAAGTAACTCAAGGCTAGCTACAAATTAGATCAGTTCTGGCTTAATGACACATGGCTGAGCTTTTGATAACTCTCTTAACAGTGAATGTGGTGATATAGTTGACTATACAGTATCTTCATAATTTGATGTTTCACAATACAGTTTCAAAATATGCTTGTAATTTTATATCGCCTTTATCTTTTAATTGCAAAATCATTTAATCAAACATTTACATATATATACATATGCATTCACACACACACACACGGACACACACATGCACTCACACTCTGAGTCATGTTTGCTTTTTAGCCTAGAAGGTAATAAACTACTAAAAAAATGCAGAAAGAGGTTTCTGTCCTTTTGGTTACTGTAGTGTGTTATGTGGTAATAAAAATTTGCTTTAGGGCCAGGTGCAGTGGCTCATGCTTATAATCCCAGCACTTTGGGAGGAAGAGGTAAGAGGACTGCCTGAGACCAACAGTTAAAGACCAGCCTGGCAATTATTTTGTGCTAGACACTGCATATGATTCTGTGGCAGAGCCAGGATTTGAGCCTGAGTGTTTTGACTCCAGAGCTCAGCACCTAACCATCAGATACACATACATATCAATGAAGCAAATGAACAAAAATCTTCCCTCAAGTTTTCATTCTTAAGAAGGGAGACTAACAATATACATAATAAGGAATTTATATTACATGTTAGATGGTTAGTACTGTGAAAAAAACCAGATTGAGTTATTGTTTGTACAGGTGTGGGAGGTGGGAATGTAATTTTAAGTAAGAATATCAGAGTAGACTGCACAGTGAAGATGACATTTGAGTAGAAACTTAAGGGACAAGAGGGACTGAATCATATCGCTGTCTGGTGACGGGGGAAGTGCTCTAGAGAGGTAATAGTCAAGGCTCTGAGGTAAAAAAGATGCCTGAATAATTTGAGGAGTGAATAGAGAAGTGTGGCAGAAGTAGAATGAGTGAGATGATTGTGGTAGGAAATGAAGTTGAAGGGTCTAGGAAAGGGACAGCTTGTAAAGGGCCTTAGGCTTTTACTCTTAGGGGAGCACTGAAAGATTTTAAGTAGAAGAATGACACATTCAGGCTTGTATTTTATAAAAATCATTTCGTGTTTTCTTCCAGAAGAAAACTTGTAGCTGCTTTCCCTCAGGTGAGGGGAATTCTTAAGAAACAACAGGTTTCTGTGTTGGAAAAGATTAGTTCAGTTTGGGGCACTTTAGGTTTGAGAAATTTGTGAGACATGCAAGCAGAGACCATCCGTGAACATTTGGTGAAAAGACTTGGCCTGACATTACTGTGAATCACAGGGAGAAGGAGCTTGCTCAGGGTGAGCAAGAAGAGTGAAGGGTTGTTGGATATTCTCTTGAGGAACACCATCATTTGAGGGACAGGAAGAGGAAGAGACACTTCACAAGAGATCAAAAAGCACACCTTAACATTCTGGATAAACTTTGAAGATTGTGCCAACAGAATTTCTTGGTGGATTTGATATGGGTATGAGAGAAATACAGCAGTCAAGGATGACTCAGGGCATCTTAAGAATCTTGTCAACTATTAATTCAAACTGACAATAAAAGGCTCATTTTAGAACTTGTTCTCTACCAAGCTGTTAGATGAATTCAAGAATTTGAGGGACATCGCTACATGTAGACGAATAGATAGACGTTTGTATCTATGAATTGGGTAGAACACAGAAATTGCCTTTTTAATTCAAATGTTACGCAGATTTCTTTTTTCATAATGTGGGAGTTTACACTACCCTGCTAGACTGGCTTATTTGTGGTGGTGTTCTTAATGGACAATAATTATTATTCTGTTTAGTTAGAATATAAATTTGGAAGGAGAGAAGTGTATTGTGTGCCAAGGAAGTATCTCCTTGTTCTTACTGATGCCACGTGATATAATAAATAAAATACCACTGTTACTTTTTCATACGACATTCAGGTTTCCAAACTTGATGAGTTGAGGGTAGAAAAGGGCAAAAAAAAAAAAAAAAAAAAAAAAATGTAACAGGATTAATTTCTATTCATTTAGGAACAGGGCAGAACTATTGATTAAAATATGATTCTAGACTGCAGACACAAGTTCGTGATAAGTTCTTGCTGGCCAAAAATAGTGTAGAAAATCAAGATGGAAAACATAACTTTCAGGAAACTGGTCTCTTTATATTGGATATAGGATTGTAGGTATATGTTGGTTAGGTTATTTCAGGTTATAAAGGATAATTACATGCTTTGAATACCTCACCTGAAAAAAATTATTAGATTATTCAGAGAATTAAGGCACTTTCTCAGCATTTTGAACAGTGAAGCTGGATGGAGAATTGTTTAGGATATTGGAACGAACGTAGCCAGGCGCTACATAGCTTTTCCTTGTATTTCTGTGTGCTGCTTTCTCTATCTGCTTGTCCTGTTCTGACTACTCCTGACTTTCTCCCAACCTCATGGCCTAGACAGATAGACAGATAGACAGAATCTGCCTTCTCTATTTTTGTCTGCCCTTTACTATCCTTACATTTCTCACATTCAGATTACCCAAGAGAAAGAATCTTCTTAGAAAGCGTTTCTTGGGGATAGTGTCCCTGCTGGGAAGAATTCTGCCAAACCACTTTATAAACTACTAATCAAAGCATAGGTGCCAAAAAGGTCTAATCTAATCTTTTGTGGACAAGATGGTAGAGTAACATGGCTTGTACCTAAAGGACTCTCATCTGAAGGTTGTAAGCCTCCTGTCACTCTTAGGGGTACTGCCTAGTACAAGAGAGCTGTAATATTTTGCTAGTCTTTCCCCCTGCCTAAAGTACAGGTACCCTATCACCAAGGATGCCATCAACCTGAACACCATCATAAAAGGCTCTTCATCATCTTTCCTACTCAAAGGAAATTTGTCTTTTCTTTGTCTGTATATTTTGAAAAGCATACCAACTTATTAGAAATAAATCTGTATGTAATTATGCTATAACAAAAAGACATTATCTTTTTCAAATAGATACATGGATTCAAATAGTTTTTTTGTTGTTGTTGTTTAGGAGAACTCATCCAGATTCATTCTTTGCACCTCAGTTTTTCATCTGTTAGGATGTTTGTTTGTTTGAGACAGGATCTCACTTGTCATCCAGGCCAGAGTGCAGCGTTACAATCATGGCTCACTACACCCTTGACCTCCCAGGCTCAAGCAGTCCTCCCACCTTGACTCTCGAGTAACTGAGACTGTAGGGACGTGCCACCATACCAGGCTAATTTTTGTAGAGGTGGGGTTTTGCCATGTTGCCCAAGCTAGTTTCAAACTCTTGGGCTCAAGCAATCCATCCACTTTGTCCTCCCAAACTGTTGGGATTACAGGCATGAGCCAAAGTGCCTGAACTTGCTTTTTTTTGTTTGTTTGTTTTTTAAATGGTGATAAAATAGATCATCATCATAGTATTATTGTGAGGATAGATGAAATGATAACATATAAAATACTTGATACAGCATCTAGCATATTACAAATGCTTTATAAGTGGTTGCTGCAGTTGTTTTTACTGAGTGAGACTTGGACATAATCTCATTAAAAGTAATCAGTGTTAACGATACTCATTTAAAGATACCCTACTTGTTTGAGTTTCCAAGGTATCTGTTAAGCATCTCCAGGCTGGGCGCGGTGGCTCAAGCCTGTAATCCCAGCACTTTGGGAGGCCGAGGAGGGTGGATCATGAGGTCAAGAGATCGAGACCATCCTGGTCAACATGGTGAAACCCCGTCTCTATTAAAAATACAAAAAATTAGCTGGGCATGGTGGCGCGTGCCTGTAATCCCAGCTACTCAGGAGGCTGAGGCAGGAGAATTGCCTGAACCCAGGAGGCGGAGGTTGCGGTGAGCCGAGATCGTGCCATTGCACTCCAGCCTGGGTAACAAGAGTGAAACTCCGTTTAAAAAAAAAAAGCATCTCCATTAGAAAATATACAAATCTGTGCTGGGCGTGGTGGCTCACGCCTGTAATCCCAGCACTTTGGGAGGCCGAGGCGGGTGGATCACGAGGTCAAGAGATCGAGACCATCCTGGTCAACATGGTGAAACCCCGTCTCTACTAAAAATACAAAAATTAGCTGGGCATGGTGGCGCGTGCCTGTAATCCCAGCTACTCAGGAGGCTGAGACAGGAGAATTGCCTGAACCCAGGAGGTGGAGTTTGCAGTGAGCTGAGATCGCGCCATTGCACTCCAGCCTGGGTAACGAGTGAAACTCCGTCTCAAAAAAAAAAAAAAAGAAAATATACAAATCTAAGCAAGTGTTTTTACATCTATTTGTTTTGGATGAAACACAGTGGGATTTTTTGAAGTTCTGTTTTATAAAATATTTATTTAGCATATTCACTGTGTTTGGTAGTTGGTTTAGTCCTACCTTACAGTTTTAAGAGAAGAGTAGGAAATGCTCCTACCCATCCTTTAGCACCACAACTGTCTGTGACCACCTGGCATTACTGTTACCTTTCCAGGAACTCATCTACACTATCTACATGGCAGTATTGTTACTTCTGGTTTCCTAAACTTCAGTTTTCTGGATATCCAGAACAACTCCTCATATGCAGTATAGCAGTGTTTTATTCCAGCTCTGAAAGACACTTCTGATGTTTTTTCATAACTCCAGACAATTATTCTTGTTTACATTTTCTAGGTTTGAAGAAAAGGCCCAGATGGATCCCCTTAGTGCTCTGAAATATTTACAAAATGATCTTTATATAACTGTGGATCATTCAGACCCAGAAGAAACAAAAGAGGTAAAGAAAGGTGGTAATAAACTTCAGAAATTGAGTATTTTTAAAATATCTTCCTAACTTATATTTAATGATTTTGCTCTTGAGTGTTTAATGGAAAATGAAGAAAATATGGTGATATCAGTAATCTTTAAAATGTCACAGAGAAGGTGAAATAAAAAATTGAATAGGGATGTTTTCATGTGATAAGATTCCAGTTACCAAAAACTTTTGGTCCATTCAGAAAAGGATTATCAGTTATAAAGTTTTAACTTAGTTTTGTGTTTTAGGAAACAAATAGAAATTTTTACTTTGTTCATAGTCCCGTGATTATTTTACATAAGGATTATGTAATGGTTCAATGTAAATTTTTCTGTTGATAGTCAAGATCCCCCAAGAGAGGAAAGAAAATTCCTCTGTTGCTTAGGGAGAAAATGAAGAGAGGTTGGTGGGAGTTAGAATCCTTGGTGCCTTATTATTTAGTTATGTGAATGTTGTAGCTATAGTTTGTCTATAGGCTACTAATTTCATTCATCACTAGTTGCTAAGCTTGAGAAATCAGTTAGCCAATCATTACTTTTCAGTTTTTTGTTACGTAGTATTGGGACAGAAACAACAGTTTCTAAAGATTTCACATCCTCAAGGACATGTTTGCTTATCCATGGTGTGTGAATATGCCTGCAATGATTTTTGTGGTTTTATACGCTCTCTTTCCACTAATATCTGAGATTCTTTTTGTCATTTTTTTCATTTTGCCAGCCATCATTGTTGATTTAGCAACATCTGAACTGCAGTGTATTTGCCTCCACTCACAGAATTCATGTTGATTATATGTAGTTCTGATCCTTAGGTCTCTTTCCCTGTTAGTTGCTGCCTTGCTTTGGGTTTGTAATAGCAGTATCAAGCTGTGCCCACACTTCAGCATTGACACAGGTGTCAGATTTAATGTTGAATTACTTTCAGGCTCCAGGTTCATTGTACTTTCAAGCAATAGCTTTCGGGTCTTCAGCACCATAACAAAGAGATACTCTTTCAAAGTTTCGTACTATAAAATTAAGTCCTAAGTCTCTCAATATTGATTACAGCCCTTCAGTAGGTAGAGAATCTGCAGAACGTATTTAGAACTCCCTTGAAAGGGGGACGGTTAATTGTCTTTCCTTGAGTCTTCAGTCAATCCATAATACTAGAGGAAATAGGAGAAATAATTGTAGTTTTGCCGAGTGAGTGGCAGAATATGTTTGGTTTAATCTGTTATGACTTATAACTGTACTTAGTTCTGAAGAGTCCATTAACGTTAATGTTAGGCCATGCATTTAGAGTTATGCATAGATTTCCTTGTGTTTTCTCCATATTCTATGTAAAATGGCTGTAACTGGGAGCAATTATTTTTTCCTTATTTTTTGAAACCAAAACAGAATATTTCAAAGTAAATAATTTCAGCTGTGTGAGCTGCAAGTAGGCCAAAGAAAACAAGACAGTTTGTTCTTAAAGTTAAACTAATGGGGAAAAAACAGGACAGGGAGGTATCTCAAGTTCATTTGAGCCATTTAAAAAATTTTGGTAGCTGGTTTCTGTTTTTCTTCTTTTAGAACAGTCACAGCTTATGATTTTGTGTGCCACCGGCTTCTATTCCATTTCATAAAAGCTTAATCTATCAAGAGTTGGGTTAGCTCTAGTAGAAGTTAGAAAGAAATGGTCGCGTGCGTGCGCGCGCGCATGTGTGTGTGTGTGTGTGTGTGTAGTTAAAAATCACCTTAGACACTTTTTAAAACAATGTCCTCACCCTAAGATTCTCCTCTGTTAGCTCTTAAAGAACAGAAAATAGAAAACATTTCTGACATTGAGAATTACTGGTCTGTAATAATACTATTTTGTTTAAAAATGTGTGAACAGATTTAATGTTTAAAACGTTTTGTATCCAACAGTCTGTTTGAGCGAAAGAAATCCCCTGGTGACAGTTCACTGTATACTTACAGTATTTGTCAGTGAGACATGTAGATCTTCACTTTCATCTTAGGAAATCATTCCACTCACTGAGAAGGGCCTTACTGCTCTTCATTTCCTATAGTAACTTGTTTTTGTTCTGTTTGTATGTTTGACAAAAATGTCATGTTTTAAATGACTTTCTCATTTAAGTCAAAACACAAGAAGTGTTTTTTAGATTTTTTTTCCCACAGTTGTTAATCATCATCATTGTGCCTGTTGTCAGGACAGTGACAGCTGACTATCAACTATATAACAAAAAAATGTTCTTTGGTTCCTCCATGCTTGAGAACATTGGTTCTGAACTGGCAATAAACCTTATAAAGCATGGTATTTTTTTCTAGAAAAGGCCCGAGAAAAGGATGTCTGAGCCAATTATACTACTTTCAGAGAAGACTTCTATAATAGAGGAGAAATGAGAATAAGTTTTCAGCTACGATAACACATTTTGTATTCATTACACTTCTGTAGCATTTCCAGAGTACTGGTGTCATTCATTGAACAGATGTATATCAATTCCCCATAATAGGTCAGGCTTTCTAGGCAGAGGAGCTATGTCAGCAAGCCAAACAGATCCCTGCCCAGGAGGTGCTTACATCTTAGTGGAGAAAGACAATGAAAAATAAACATTAAAGAAGCAAATTATATAGTACATTAGAATATCACAAGTGTTGGACCAGGCGAGGTGGCTCATGCCTGTAATCCCAGCACTATGGGAGGGTGAGGTGGGCAGATCACCTGAGGTCAGGAATTCAAGACCCGAAAGAATTTAATAAGTGTTACGGAAAAATAAATACGGAATAAAAAGGATAAAAGGAGAAGTATACGGGATGAGAATTGGGCAGAGCAGTGTAACATAGGATGATCATAATAGGCCTCATTTAGAAATGAGATTTGCATGAAAACTTGAGAGAGAAATATGGAGAAAATAATTTCTGACAAAGGGAGGTCTAGAACAAAGATCCCAGGTTGGGATTATTCTGGCAAGGTTTTTTTGTTGGTTTGTTTGTTTTGTTTTTTGTTTGTTTTTGAGACGGAGTTTCGCTCTTGTTACCCAGGCTGGAGTGCAATGGTGTGATCTCAGCTCACCGCAGCCTCTACCTCCTGGGTTCAGGAAATTCTCCTGCCTCAGCCTCCTGAGTAGCTGGGATTACAGGCATGTGCCACCATGCCCAGCTACTTTTTTGTATTTTTAGTAGAGACGGGGTTTCACCATGTTGACCAGGATGGTCTCGATCTCTCGACCTCGTGATCCACCTGCCTCGGCCTCCCAAAGTGCTGGGATAACAGGCTTGAGCCACCGTGACTGGCCTATTGGCAAGGTTTAATAGAATAGCAAGGAGGCTATGGTGACTGAAGATAGAACCAACAGAATTTTATCATACATTAGATCTACGGTTTGAAAGAAATAACTCTAAAATTTATGGCCTGAAAATCTGGAAGAATGGAGTTACTGTCAACTGAACTGAGAAAGTTCTGGGGGAACCCAGTTTGTGGGGACTCCTGGCTGGCATTGAGGAGTTTAATTTTGAAACTGTTTAGTTTGAGACATCTATGAGACAGCCAACTTAAGATGTTGAGGTGACTGTTGGATATTTGAATCCAGAATTTGGAAGAGAGGCCTGTAATATCACCTGATATGTGTTAAAATCCTTAGGCCAGTGCATACCATTCCATTTATTTAATCAGATGGTTTAGATAATAATTTTCTCTTTATCCTGTATGTGGAGCCAATAACATATGTTTTTCACCTTAGGAGTTAGAAAAGAGGACCAAATTCAACCCCAAATAGGTAGAAAATAAGAAATTCTTGAAATAGGAAACAGTGGAGAAATTTTAGAAGTGAAAAGTTGGCCTTTTGAAAAGGTAAATAAATTGATAGGCCCCAAGCAAGATGTACCAAGTGTATTAGTCTGTTCTCGCACTATTATAAAGAACCACCTGAGACTGGGTAATCTATGAAGAAAAGAGGTTTAATTGACTCACAGTTCTGCAGGCTTAACAGGAAGCATGACTGAGAGGCCTCAGTAAACTTACAAGGGGAAGCAAGCATCTTTTTCACATGGTGGCAGAAGAGAGAGTGAGAATGAGCGGGGAAGTGCCATACATGTTTAAATCATCAGATCGCAGGATAACTCCTTATCACAAGAACAGCAAGGGGGACATCGGCCCCTGTGATCCAGTCACCTCTCACCAAACCCCTCCCCCAAGTTCAACATGAGATTTGATTGGGGACACAAATCCAAACCATATCACCAAGAAAAAAAAAGTGAAATTATCAACATCACAAATGAAAAGAGGAAATCAGTATAGACCCTACATTATTAAAGGTAAAGTAGGTATGAACAACTTCATCAACAAATTCAGCACCTTGATGAAATTGACAAATTCCTTAAAAGACCAGTTTACCAAAACTGATACAAGTAGAAATAGAAAATCTTAAGGAACTTCATATGTACTGTAGAGATTGAATTTGTAATAAAAAATTTTCTAACAAAAAACCTCTAGGCCTATAATAAATTATATCAACCATTTAATGAAGGAAGAAAAAAATACCAATTTTACATAGACTCTCCGAAATTAGAGGAAGGCAATACTTCTTAAATCCTTTTTTAAAGCCAGGTTAACTTTGATGTAAAATCCCAACAGAAGCCAGGCTTGGTGGCTCACACTTTGTAATCACAGCATTTTGGGAGGCTCAGGGGTGGATCACCTGAGCTCACAAGTTTGAGACTAGCTTAGGCAACATGGCAAAAACCTGTCTCTACAAAAAAAAAAAAAAAAAAATTAGCTGGGTGTGGTGGTGCATGCCTGTAGACCTAGCCCCTCTGGAGGCTGAGGTGGGAGGATCACCTGAGTTCAGGGAGATTGAGGCTGCAGTGAGCTGTGATTATGCCTCTACACTCTGAACCTTGGTGACAGAGAGGGATCCTATCTCAAATACAATAAAATAAAATCCCAAGAAAGACATTACAAGCAAAGAAAATCATAGTCTAATATTTTTCATGAACATAAATGTAAAACTCTTAGGAAAATTTTACTTAATTAGCAATATATTAAAAGGTTAGTGTACTATGACTAAGTGATAGTTTATTCTAGGAATATATAGGTAGTTTAACATTTGAAAAAAATTCGGTGTAATTCACCATGTTAACAGAATGAAGGAAAATCATAGATCATCTTAGTAAGTAAAGAAAAGCATCTAACAAAATTCAGACTCAATTCATAATAAAAATTCTTAGCAAAGTAGGAATAAAAAAACCCTTGAATCTGAATCTAAATTCCTAAAGGACACCTGTGAAAAACATATACCTAGGACTATACTTAATTGTTAAACATTAAACCCTTTTCCCTAAGACTGTAACAAGGAAATCATGTATATTGTCAGCCCCTCTATTCAACCTTGTACTAGAAGTCCTAGCTAGTATAATTTAAAAAAAAAAAAAAAAAGCATATGGATTGGATAGGAGAAAGTAAATTTGTTTGCATTTGTAGGTAACACGATTATGTACATTCTCAAAACCCCACGTTGTGTACAAAACAATATACTAGGACAAGTGAATTTAGCAAGTTACAAAAATATAAGGTCAATAGAAAAAAGAAGCAATAATTAGCAATTATTTTTATACTAGCAGTGAACAATTAGAAAATGAAAAGCATACTGTTTATATTAGCGTCAGAAATGCCAAATGGGTAGAATGAGTCTATTGTAAGAAATTAAAGAAGACCTTGATAAATGGAGATACATATCATATTTATGGATCAAAACACTGAAAATTGTTTAAAGCTGCCCATTCTCCCCAGATTGGTCTTTATCTTAATGCAGTATACTAGTTTCTTTTTGTTGCTGTTGTCGTTGAGGAAACAGACAAACAACTCTAAAATTTACATGGAAATGCAAAGGTTTTAGAATAGCCAAAACAATTTTGAAAAAAGCAAAAGTTGGAAGGCTTATACTACCTGATTTCAGGACTCTGTATAAAGCCACAATAATCAAGACAGTGTGGTACTGGGTTAAGGATAGACAAATAGATCAGTACAACAGAAGAGAGTCCAGAAATAGACCCATAAATATGCAGTCCCTTGTTTTTTGACCAGGGTGCCAAGTCCAATGGGGGAAAGAAAGTTGTCAACAAATGATACTGAATAGCTGGATATTTCAAACCCTTCTCACTGTGTACTGAAACATTAAGATAGATTACAGATCTAAATACAAAATCCAGAAGAATAAGGCTTTGAGAAGAAAACATAGGAGATTTTCTTCACAACATTGGAATAGGTAAAGATTTCTTGGACTTGACACAAAAGATAGTAATCATCAAAGAAAAAATCTTAATAAATTTGACTTCAAAAAGTTAAAATTTCTGCTCATTAAAGGACTATTAGAAACATAAATAGACATGGCCAGGTTCAGTGGCTCACACTGGTCATCCCAGCACTTTAGGAGGCCTAGGAGGAAGGACTGCTTGATCCCAGGAGTTTGAGACCAGCATCTCTAGCAAAAAATTTTAAAAAATTAAAAATGAGGTAGGAGGATTGCTTGAACCCAAGAGGTTGAGGCTGCAGTGAACCATGGTTATCCCACCGCACTCCCACCTGGGTGACAGAGAAGACCCTGGCTAAATAAATAAATAAATAGACATGCCACAGACTAAACAATCTTTGCAGTAGATATAACTGACAGAGGACTGATACCCAGAACATGTAAAGAATTTCCATATGTTTTAAAATTTTTCTTTTTATCCCCCCTTTTCCTAACTCTTGCTTAGATAAATACCTATGGAAGGTTTGTACAATTTCTGATCTTTGAAGGACCATTAATCAGGGCTTACAAATATTAGTATGATTTAATACCTGAAATGTAAAAGGCTGCAAACATAGATGTGAAATATATTTTGAGGAATGGATGGTATTAACTGCTCAAGTCTTAGGAAGTGTCAGGTAACTCCATTGAGGAGTTTGTCTGCTCTAATCCATTCCTTTAACTCGCCTCTTTTCCTGCATCCTCATTCAGGGTAAATGTAAATAGTTCTCCAAATTTTTTATTTTGTGCCTATTTGTTAAATTGCTAATGTTGCGATAGTTTTGTCTTACTCTGTTTCTTCATTGTTCAATTACATTTTCTGTTTTAAACTAACCTTAACTGGCAGCCTGGAAATCTAACAACATTTACAACATTATGTCCGTTAAAAAAGCCTGTTGGGGAAAAAGAAAAAAAAAAAAAAAGAAGCCCATTGGGTTTTAACAATATAATTATATATAGCTGTGGAATCTCAATCTAAGTTGTAATTTTAGGAATGGTCTATACACGCTTTTTTTCTCGGATTTTGATTTACACAGCTGAGACATCAGGTATTTTACAGTGGCTTACATTTATTTTTGAAAAGAGAATGCATATATACTAAAAATGTAATAACTGGGCCCAGGGCACCAATCTGTTCATATGCGTTAGATTCTGAAATGACAGTTTCCTTTTTTATTTTGTTGTGCTGTTGTTTCTTAATAAATACATACTTTATAATACATTTTAAAAATAAAATAATTCCAGGACATGACCCAGTATTTTGGAAAATGTTAATAGCAGCCTGATAAAAAGTCAGTATATTATTTAATCTGAAAGTGTTCTTCTTGCCACTATTTGGTGAATAGACCTGTGTCACACATATGCAGAAATACATAGTTGCTGACAAATGGTCAAAGTTACAGAAGGTTATTTTCCTTCAGTGCACTTAGCCAGCTAATTTGCTTCTTTTTTTTTTTTTTTTTTTTTTTTTTTTTTAACAGTTTCAGCTCCTGGCATCAGCTCTATTCAAATCTGGTTCAGATTTTACAGCTCTAGGTAAGTATTGCAGAATAGTTTATCCATCTAGATGCCCTAGCATTTGTTTGGTTTCTTTTACATGAAACATCAGGTGATATATTTCAAAGAAATAGATGAGCAAATGAAGTTTCAAGGTATCATGCAAAATTTCTGATAACCTACAAAGTTACTCTTAGGTATCATTTATCAATCACTTCAGTTTGCAGTGAGTCCTATACCAATTGTTGTGTTAGTATGCAAACAGATGGCAATAGAAAAACAATCAAAATAAGTTAATTTATATAGCACTGCTTTGGAATGCAGGCTGCATTACTGATACATACTATGAGATAATACTTGTTGATTACTTTTTCCTGTCAGTTTGTTCTTTGTGGAATTGTGTGTTGTCAAGAGAATAGCGATGGGGTAGGCAGTAGTTTGTGAGCACAGAAGATAGATTATCTCTTTCCTAAAAATCAAAGAAGATAGATTATCTCTTTTCTTTTTTTTTTTTTGAGATGGAGTTTTGCTCTTGTTACCCAGGCTGGAGTGCAATGGCGCGATCTCGGCTCACCGCAACCTCCGCCTCCTGGGTTCAGGCAATTCTCCTGTCTCAGCTTCCTGAGTAGCTGGGATTACAGGCACGCGCCACCACACCCAGCTAATTTTTTGTATTTTTAGTAGAGATGGAGTTTCACCATGTTGACCAGGATGGTCTCTATCTCTTGACCTCATGATCCACCCGCCTTGGCCTCCCAAAGTGCTGGGATTACAGGCTTGAGCCACCGCGCTCGGCCGATTATCTCTTTTCTTAAAATGGGAGTTTTGTTATCTTAATTGTTCAACATAACTTCTAGTTGAAACTCAAGTTTTTCTCAAACACTTTAAATATTGTGCATCAGTCTTCATTTAGTAGTACTCTCATTTAGTATTAACGAATTATTAACTAGACTGTAGGCCAGGCACAGTGTAGGCCAGTCACACCTGTAACTATAGCACTTTGGGAGGCTGAGGCTGGAGGATCACTTGAGAGTTTGAGCCAACCGGGAGTTTGAGCCAAGCCTGGGTAACATAGCCAGGTTTAGTGGTGTGTGCCCATAGTCCTAGCTACCCAGGAGGTTCAGGTGGGAGGATCACTTGAGCCTAGGAGGTTGAGGTTGCAGTGAGCCAAGATCGTGCCACTGCACTCCAGCCTTGGTGACTAGAGAGAAATCCTGTCTTTAAAAAGAAGAAAGAAAAATCGTCCAGGCGTGGTCTCACACCTATAATCCCAGCACTTTGGGAGCCTGAAGCAAGCGGCCTTGAACCTGAGGTCAGGAGTTCAAGAGCAGCCTGGCCAACATGGTGAAACTCCACCTCTACAAAAATACAAAAATTAGCCAGGCATGATGGTGGGTGCCTGTAATCCCAGCTACTTGAGAGGCTGGGGCGGAAGAATTGCTTGAACCTGGGAGGTGGAGGTTGCAGTGAGCTGAGATCGTGCCATTGTTCTCCAGCCTGGGAGACAGAGCGAGACTCTGTCTGAAAAAACAAAAACAAAAACAAAACCAAGACTATAATAAACTGGGTAGTCTGCAGAACCGAACACAGACCTTTACTTGGGTGAATTTTCAAGGGCATTTTCATTAGGATAACTTATTCATAGCTTCATTTTTTACCAAGATAGTAGTCTTTTGAAGTATGGAGATTTCCAGCTTTCCTCTGGTCAGTGAAAGTATATTAATCCCATTGATGTTGGTGCTGTTACTATTTGCCTTAGAGTTGAGCTATAGTACTGAAATTTTCCGTTATATGTAATATAAATACTATTTTTTATATTTGGAATAAAATAACATTTGGGGATATCTGTTTAGTTTCTTCATTATTTGACCTTTTATCTCTTAAAAGTAAACTGTACCTCAATGTAAAAAAGAGTATGTATAATTCTGGTGCTTTTCACTGGGATGAAAAAATAGAGGTGTTCTTGAGGTCTTGCCCTTTATTCATAGCTAGTGATGGAGGCTTCTCTACTGATCAAAGCAACTCCAATCCTAAATTCCAACTCCAGAATATGTAGGATTCCTCAAGACTAGACTAGACTGCTATAAACGTGACTCCAGAAGGTTCTCCTAAGAATTTAGATAATGATTTACGACTGTTCCATACACTCGAAGTTAAGTCCCTAGGCTACTAGAAATCCCAGCTCTGTGATGCTGGAGAACCTAGGTATAAGCTTTATTTTGGAAAGTCCATGCCCTTCTGAATTCTAGCATTTGAAACAAATGTAGTGACACCTGAATTGGATGTCTGGCACATATTCAGTTTGAATGATTTGTGCCTTTTTATTTATGATACCATACCGCAGGCCCATTCTTTTTATATATGAGTGAGTAGCAATAAACTCTCTCTAGCTGACTTATTTTTAGCCTCTGGAACGAGAATTTCTTGGCACTAATTTAAATATGTTAATTAGGGTGGTGTCAGCAAATATTTTGCCTTCAGCTTAACTCCTTTCTTTTGACTCTGTCCTGTTCACTGCCAACTAATATATTTTGTCAGGATTAGTTTGCTTTATTTGGATTCTAAACAAACCTCAGATATACTGAGAACAATACAAACACAAAAGAGAAAATACAAGAAAAAAAAATTTCTGTGGGATTTTGTTTCCTGTCTTGTCTGAAGGGAGGTGGTATAGCATAGTAATTAGGAAGTTGGAATGTGGGGTGGTGGTTAAGAGTCAGAATCTATTTTAAAAGTGATCTTGAGCAAGTTACTTAAACTTTCTAGTTATCAGTTTCTTTATTAATTGGAGGCAATGGGAGTACTTGCCTCAGATTGCTGAGAGAATTAAATAATTCTGGAATAAAACACTTAACACAGTAAAGCAGTAAATGCTCCATTCAGGGTACCATTACTATTGACTGCGTTGAAAATGTAAGCTTCTAGCCAGGTAGAATGAGTCACGCTTTTGTGTTTGTATTGTAATCTCAACACTTTTGGAGGCCGAGGTGGGACGATCATCTTGAGCCCAAGAGTTCAAGATTAACCTGGGTAACATGGCAGGATCTTGTCTCTTTTTTTTTTTTTTAAGTCACCTTTGTAATATTGGTGAATTTGGATAAGGAGCAAATACAGATTGTTTGCTAATTTTAATGAGAAATCTGATTTTTATAAACAAGTACTTTTCAAAAGGTTTCATGCCTATTTAGAGTTACTGGTTCTTGTTCTTATTCATTTTCTGTTAGACAATTTTATCTTTACGCCAATTAGAATAAAAATAAAATGGGTTATTTACTGTACCTACAATTGTATAAATGAGTATTTCATTTTCTAAGCGCTGCCAAAAAAAAAAAGCCTCAGCCAAACTTTCTGAATGACACCCTCCAGAAATAATCCAACTTATGTTCATCTCTTAGTGAGAATTAAGTAAAAGTATTAATATAGTATGTAATATTTTAAAGAATCAGAAAGATGGAAGGTGGCATTATCTTGGTTTTCGAAAAATGAGTGACTTCAGAGAAAATCTCCAAAGATCTTGGTTTTAGAGCTTCTGGTGGCTCTAGGCACTTTTAAGATTGAACTCAGTCACTTTGTTAAGTGTAAGAGCTATATCTTAGTTCTAGAAAGTATGAATTGAGCAATTAAACTTATTTTCAGCAAGGTATGTGACAAGTAGGAAAAATCTGGTATATAAAGCATGTTTCCTATTGATTGAGACAGGGTCTTGCTCTGAAGTCCAGGCTAGTGTGCAGTGGTGCAATTACAGCTCACTGCAGCCTGTACTTCCTGGGCTCAGGCAATCCTCATGCCTCAGCTTACAGAGTAGCTGGGACTACTCTGGCATGCATAACCACGCTGAACTAATTTTTTTTTTCTTTTTAAAAAATTTTTGTAGAGATAAGATCTCACTGTATTGCCCAGGTTTGTCCTTTTTTGGTCCTCATAACTCTTTTTAGAAGTTTACAGTCCAAATAGGAAGTTTAGTGTTAGAAATAAGGAGTGTACATTTAAAAATGTGTATGCTAGGAAAAAATTCTTGTGATTTCCCCATTACCACAAATAGGAAAATCTAGCTACGTGTAGGATGTTAAGTTAAAAGTATATTCCTACATGCATGGTGGTGTGAGTTAAGAAAATCACTTGAGCCCAGGAAGTTGAGTCCAGCCTGGGCAACACAGCAAGACCCCATCTCTAAAAACAAAAAAATTATTCCTAACAGGTCACTTTTCTTTAGAGCAGTCATTGCTTCAGTCATACTACTAGTGGTATAGTGATAGCTAATTAATATTATTAATCACTTACTTTAGGACTAGGTGTTGTTCTAAGTACTTTGCATGTCTTAACTGGTGATTATCCCCATAGTATCCCTATGAAGTAGCGACTTTGTGATCCTTTTTTGTATATGAAGAAACTAGGGTACAAAGAGGCTAAGGTAACTTGCCCAGGCATAGGACTAGTGAAGGGCAAAACCAGGATTAAAACCCTGTCAGTATGGCTTCAGACACCTTCTCTAAACCACTGTGCTACCTCTCACTGAGCTTTACCAGTTTCCACTGTTCAAATAGTTACCTTCTCTTTGCATTTTATGGTGAAAATGAAGTAAGATAAACATAGTGATGAGGACCATGAAGTTTAGAATCAATATCACCTTTTTGTCCTAGCAGTGCCATTTAAGTAGTTTTGTTACTATTGATGAGTTTACTAGATCCTTACCCTTTTTAAATTTATTTTTAGAAAAAGAAAACATTGATTACATATAAAGCTTAAGATTCTCCCTAAATAACTTTCCTCAGTCTCTTTTACCCTTAAGTATAATCACTCATGTGATACATCTTTACACACACACACACACACACACACACACACACACACACAGATGCATTTGGTTCTCATTATTCAAAGTAGAGTACAGAGTTAGGTTCCTACAAGCCTCTCATCACATTTTATCTACTGATCAATTTGTAACCACATGTTATGTGTGTTTTTGTTTAAAGATTCCTCATTTAAAATATATTGTTGATTCACTGACATTAAGCTCATGGTCAACATCACTCTAACTCATACCTGAACCGAGCTTATCTAATGTGCCTATTTTCCGCATAAGGCCTTTTTGCACATAAGAATGCTAGACAGCGCTTTGGCACTACATTTGGGGGCCATTTTAAACAGTGAAGCCACCAAAAACACAAAAATGTGGCAAATGTAGCACCAAACAGATGGTAAAAGGTCTGTTGTGGATAGTAAGAGCTGAAACAAGAAAGCAGCAGAGATCACAAAGTTCACCCTCAGCTGGGGACTTGTGCATATGGTGACTCAAATACTTTGCCACTTTGCACATGTCTGCAATGACCACAGAAATAACACAATTATTGGTTTGTGGTTTACAAATGAGTTTTAGCAAACAGGCAAATTCACGAATATGGAGTCTGTAAATGATCAAGATCAACTGTATATACGCACACACACCACCATATAAATATAGAGGCTTGTATGTGCTGTTTTAATTTATTATGTAAAAACATTCTGCAGCATAATTTTTAAACTTAATGATGTGGCTTGTAGACGTTTTTATGAAGCTACACTAGATCAGATGTATTCTTATGGAGTGATACATTATTATTCATAATAGGAATCTGCCATAGTTTATTCATTCGTCTAAGGATAGCGTAAATTTAAATTTCCTCATAGGTAAATAGTAAATAAAAATAAAAGATGTGCCTTTTAGAGTTAAATGAGCTTAGTTCATTGCCCTACAAGTTAAGTACTTAATGACTATGAGTTAATAAAAATAAATAAAGGGTTTTGGAGTCAGACAGACATAGGTTCACATTCCACCTCTTCCCTCCCTAGCTGTGAGACTTTATTGAATTACTGAATCTTTCTGTGTAAAAGAGGTAGATGAATAACAAAAATAGTAATAACTTTAAGATTATTGAATCTAAGTTGTCTCATCTGAAAGGGCAGAGACTTCATTGTTTTTGTGAAGAGGAAATGTAATCATACCTAAAGTACCCAGCACATAGGAACTCAGTGTTTTCTTCCCTCTTAAGTAATTTGATCTCCAGAAGATGGTATTACTTCATTACAGTAGCATTACAGAATCGATGTCTTCTTTTAAAAATGTAACACGATTGTATTTTTACAAATTCAGAACATAAAAGAGAACTAAACCATTTTAGTACAGTACTTAGCCTATACTTTCAGTGAGGCATATTCTAAAAACAATAAAAGCAAACAAATCTTGAGTTTTTCTTGGTAGTGGTACATATGTAGCAAATCTAGAATTCGTATATATTTTAAGTTGAGCAAATGAGTAAATATTCTGATATTACTGGGAATCAGGGTTTTCTTGGGGGAAGAAAGGAGATATGGAATGGGATATGAGGAGGACGAATCCTCTGAGGTTTTAAGAAATTAGAGTTAACAATAAAAGCATGAAATATAATCTAAAAAACATGTATGCATATAATAGGCTATATACATAGGCTTAGGAACAGTGACACCTTGGCAATTAGCATAGCTGTTCTTGGTTTCTTTTCTTTTCTTTTTTTTTTTTTTTTTTTTTTTTTTTTTTCCCGAGACGGAGTTTCGCTCTTGTTACCCAGGCTGGAGTGCAATGGCACGATCTCGGCTCACCGCAACCCCTCTGCTTCCTGGATTCAAGCAATTCTCCTACCTCAGCCTCCTGAGTAGCTGGGATTACAGGCACGCGCCACCATGCCCAGCTAATTTTTTGTATTTTTAGTAGAGACGGGGTTTCACCATGTTGACCAGGATGGTCTTGATCTCTTGACCTCGTGATCCACCCGCCTCAGCCTCCCAAAGTGCTGGGATTACAGGCTTGAGCCACCGCGCCCGGCATCTTTTTTTTTTTTTTTTTTTTTTTTGAGACGGAGTTTCGCTCTTGTTACCCAGGCTGGAGTGCAACAGCGCAATCTCGGCTCACTGCCACCTCCGCCTCCTGGGTTCAGGCAATTCTCCTGCCTCAGCCTCCTGAGTAGCTGGGATTACAGGCACACGCCACCATGCCCAGCTAATTTTTTGTATTTTTAGTAGAGACGGGGTTTCACCATGTTGACCAGGTTGGTCTTGATCTCTTGACTTCGTGATCCACCCGCCTTGGCTTCCGAAAGTGCTGGGATTATAGGCTTGAGCCACCGCGCCCAGCTGCTGTTCTTGGTTTTTAAATAACATTCACAGCTGAAAGGAATTAGGACTCCAGAGCTGTGTAAATATGAATTTGGATGTATACCAGAAAGTAAGGAAGTACCCCAAAATTAATGGATACATTTCAAGAAGACAAACCAGCTCAAAAAGGCTCTTGCTGGTGAAATCTGGGACAGTATGAATATCAGAATGAATGGTGACAGTAATGAATATAACATACTGAACAAGAAAAGAATCCCTGAGTACATAATAATGTGAACAAATAAGTAAAATGGGAGGAGAGGAAGAAAAAGCTCTTCTTTACAATAGGTTGTCAACAACTGTAGAAGGAATTATAGAGTTAGAAAATCACAATCATATAACTGATAATTGTTTTAGCAAGAATCATCAGTGATTGCTAAATTATTGGGGGCAGGGCTGTTGGAGAAGCGGATATAGTTTATTAATTAAAAAGGTAGAAAAGAACACCTTTACCTTGGAGAAATTTGGCATATACCAACTTAACCAGACGATCAAAGCTAATATCATCAGTATTAGGATAAACTGATACCCCATGCCTTCTGAGATAATGCACTGAGGGCGCACAGTATCACTTGTATAGTATTCTTGCCAAAACGTCATAAACTGAATCTGATGATCAAGAAACAGTCCGGCAACCCAAATTCAACACATTCTACTCATAAATGTTCTGTAGTCTTCAAAAATATCAGTGTCGTAAAAGACAGAGGCTGAGGAACTATTTCAGACTCAAGAGACTTGGAAAAATGCCTTGTGTGATCTTAGATTGGATTTTAGATTAGTAGGAAACATGACTGTAAAAAAGTGACTAAAAAATGGTACTATTGGGACATCGGTGTTAAATTTCATGAATTTAATATATATTAGTTATGTAAGTGAATGTTCTTGTTCTTAGCTGAAATTAGTTTGAGCATGTAGGGAGCAAAGGTGTCTGTGACTTTCTCCCAGATAGTTCAACAAAAAGATTTTCAGTGGGGTGTACACACACACACACACACACACACACACACACACACACGAGAGCGAGAAAGAGAGAGAAAGAGAACATATTTTTGGTGAAACTAACAATTGATGAACCTAAGTGAAGGCAATATGGGGTGTTCACTGCACGATTCTTGAAACCTTTCTGTGGGTTTGAAATTTTTCAAAATAAAAAGTTGAAAATGAAGCAATTTGGAGTTTTTTTTTTTAAAGCATAAAATAGAAAAGACTCTAATCTCACTGTCAGAGATAACCTTTGTTAATATTTTGGAGTATTTCTTTCCATTCATTTCCATGATAGCATAGTGGGCTTTGTTAAACTCAAGCTCATCTCAAGTAAACATTTACCCTCAAACTTAAAACAATATATTTTTTAAAAATAAAAAGGAATGTGCTGTTCTTGAGGTATTGTTTATGTTCCTTCCAGGAAACTGGTATCCTTGGCAATGTTGTGGTCTATTCCTGTTCTTTTACAAGATTAAAACAGATTGGACCTAAAATTGTATTCTAAGTTGAATGGAAATCAGTCTGATTTGAAGTCGCCTTCACTGAACACGCTGGCATGTGTAACTCATTATGGCTTTGTTTCTGTTTCTCATGGCACTCAGCAGGGCTCTCATGCCTCAGCCATTTCAGGAATAGGGGAAATCATTTATTTTATCACTTAAATATCTCCGTTTTATGTTAGAAATCTGAAGCAGCTGAGATAAACATACCAACTGATGAAGACAGCATCTCACCGAATGTTCCTTTAGCTGGAGTGAACTTGATAATTGAATGTTTTTTAGAGGTTACGGGGGAAATCCTTTAGATTAACAGTCCCTACCTTTTAAACATGCCATACATATGCTTCCTAATACTTACTGGGATAAAAGTAGTTCATTGCCCTATCCTCACATAATGTGTGCCTAGTAAGAGGTATGGTGTTTATTATGTGCAGGTACCATTCTACATATTGTACATGTATCTCTTTCCCTCAGTCGTCTCTGTTATCACTCAGTTCTCTGAGACTGCTTCCAGCTGTCTCTGAGACATTAATGATTTTAGACTAATTTCAAAAGATCTGTTTCATTTTGATTTTATTATATTTTTATTACCAAAAAAATTTAGTGGTTCAGAAGCATTAACAAGTAGAAAAGACAAGTGGAATTTCCTCAGTGGACTAGCAGAGGAACAACCTTGTAAGGAAGAGAAGAGAAATCGATATTATTTAGTAACTGAAGTGCCAGTCCTTCTGCTAGATGCTTTTCATGTAATTGCATTTAATCTGCACAATAACTATATGAAGTAAATAGGATTATCACTTATGTACAGCTGAGGAAACAAAGTCTGAAAGCCAGAAAGTCTGATGAATTTACCTAAGATCACACCACAGCCAAGTAGTAGAACTGGGGTCAGATCAGTAGTGTCTGTCTGGTTTTGAAGCCTGATTTGCTTTGTCCATTATAAAGTACATTGCTGCTAGTTTTAACTGGTTTTTCTGTTACATGTTTTAAACACAATGGATGTTTCTTTGTATCTTCTTCACCAGGCTTTTCTGATGTGGATCACACCTATGCTCAAAGAACTCAGCTCTTTGACACCTTAGTAAATTTCTTTCCTGACAGCATGACTCCTCCTAAAGGCAACCTGGTAGACCTCATTACACTGTAACTGAAGAGCCACTGGACACAGAAATGGAAAACAGGAGTCGGATTTTCCGCCTTTTGGATTGCAGCTCCGTTGACTGACAGTAAAGCTGCAGTGATTGAGGACTGCGCCAGAGTTCCAAAGGGATCTTAACCATCACAGGTTTTTACCCTTTTCCTTCATACCTGACCTCAACCCCACTATCTTCATCCTATTCCTAAATTAGGCTAATAAAGTGAAATTGGTATACTTTCCAGTTAAATATATATATTTTTTCTTATGTTATCTTTTAAGAATTAATGAGTATAAAAGGAAAATTAGGCAGTTTACCCTTTTCAGAATTTATTTCTTTTTTTTTCTTAATTGGGGGAAATAAGCATTATTAACAGATTCAGCACTACAAGTATTTTGAATGTTGTTGCTGTTGGTCATTTGGCCTGCCTTCTCATCCCTTCCCACTTCACTGCACCTCCCGTCACACAACTGCGTATAGGTGGTGTCACTTGTTTACCTCTTTACTTTATTCTTAACAAATGTATAGTTCTCTAGGACAGTTGATATATGTTAAGGTGATATCCGTGTCTGTGCTGACTTGTATTGTGTTACGTTAAACAGTAGGCAGAACTGAGGGCTCAAGTTTGCACTCTTGGCCATAGTACTAAAAATGAAACCTGAGATTGACCCAAGTACCTATCTGAGATTGGTATATAATATTTCTTTAATGATATATTTATTTTATAGTAGATATTACAACAGCATCTGACTTTGAGTCACAGAAACCTTAAACTGAGGACACTATAGTTCAGAACCTTTAAGAGCCATTCTAAAAATGATGAGCAGGAGGGATCTAGTAGTGAATATGTTCATTGATATCTTCATAGCAATTTTAGGAGAAAATTACTCTTTTGTCTAGAAGATCTCTGCAGAACCAGGGCTCCCGTTTCTCTTTGTGCAATCTCTTTGTAGTGTTTTCATTTGAGAGAGGAGGCTGAGTTTCCAGAGCTCTGCTTTTATTTATTTTTATACACATTGTCTCTCTGTGTCTGCTTGTGGATAATTGATATTTTTAAGAGAAATTATTTGTGGTTGTTCAGTGGCATACAACTGACAAACATTTCACTAAGTTATATAGGCCGGACTTTATGAATAGTTCAAATATTTTTTAATTATAAAGAACAGTATGACAGATGGACTTTTCCCTGAGTCAGTTTTTCTGTGAGAGATAGAGGTACGTATCTTCTGATGAGGTGCTGTGGAATGCAGTGTGGGGAACCTACATCTGGCTAGTGCTTACATTTGCTCGAACAGCGTGTTGTATGAAGCTGATCCCCACCATACTAAAGCAGACTTGTAATAAGAAGTGTCAGTTGATCCCATGGCTCGTAAGAGTGAATAGCTTTATGGAATCAAGTATGTCCCTGAGTAGCAAGATTCGGCTTCACCAAAGAAAGACGAAATTAACCTGCACTTTCAGAAAGTATCATGTATAGGAATGAAACATTGAGATCCCACTTTATTCTGTCTTTAGTACATGGTTTTGCGTCTTTTAGGGATGAATAGAAATATATTTTTGCTAGTTGTAGGCTTGAGTCATGAGTTCCATGGCTTTCTTAGTATCCCAAAGCAGTCAACAGTGATTTCTTAAGCAATTTGATCTGTACCTTTACTTGTGAAAGGTATGCTACTTAATTCAGCACCTACCAACTTGTGTACCTGCTGAATAACCAAGTGACTGTCCAGTCAAGTAAATACAGTTTACTTACATACTTGTACGGTTTCATAAAACCATTCCCCTGAGTGACATAAGAACATAAAATATTAGTATCACTAACATAGCCTATTGAATCTTTTGTGGAGACAGGTGCAAGTCAGAATATTGACAAGGAAGAACTTGAATTTGCTAAGACTTCCTAAATTTAAAAGCTCTAGTTTTGCTTAGTGTGATGGAGCAAGTGAAGGTCTGTTGCCCTCCACCATTTATTTTTACAGTGCTTCTTTGTAATTTTTTTCATCAGTTTCTCAAATGTTGTTTGGAGGAAACGAAGTTCTTGACCTCAGTAATTTTATTTTTGTTTTTCCCTAATTGCTTCCCTACTAGCTTTTTGGAAAACATGTTTGTTTTAATTTCATCTTTCCTTCCTTTATTTAGGTTCAATTTTCCCCTCTTCATTTCTGGAATTTTTTGCTCACCACCATGTTTAAATGGGGTTGAATCATAGCAAGCCATTTTCTCTTGCCAAAGTGAGATAGATACACTGAGGAGATAATTGGAAAGTCAGACTCTGTCATGTGCGGCTTTAATGGGAGCACTGCTGGAAGTGATTGTAGAGAATGTAATGCTTCATATATCCATGACCAAGATAGACATGTTGCTCACAACATGTCACAGTTTATTGAGGAGCTACCTGTATTTCCAAGAATTCCAGCATATCCTATAATTTAAATAATTGAATTTGGTATTTAGGTACACTGTTTATATAGCCAAGTGTGTATGCTTACTATCTAACAATTATTTCATTCTAGCTTAGGCAAATCCCTAATTGAAACACCTAGCTAATGCTTTAGACACATGAATTAAGTGAGATACAATTTGTTCATTTGTATTATCTCCAGCTTCAACCTCATTCTTCCCTTTTCCTAGTATAATACATTCTTTTCAACCAGAAATTAAACTAGATATATAACATTATTTTCAGTGCTTGTACTTCATGAGAAATGATCTGATTTTCAAGACACTTCTTAAGTGCATTTGCATTTTATTTTGGTAATAGCAGAGACCTCATGTGGCCAGTTTGATTGATTCAAGAATATATCACTCTTATTCAAGCAAAGAAATTCAAACTTGAATGCCTACCTCTGTGCTGAACCTGACAGACAGTATTAACTTTTATTAAGGCCATCTTTTAGACCTGGTTTTCATTTATACAAAAACTGACCTGTCCATGTCTAATAAGCAAAAACTGATAGAAGACATTATAAAGTCACTGGTTTTATCATAGAAAGCTTTGTTGGGTTTAGAGCTCAGTGATTTAAGCTTGTAAAACTGCATTCTCGGGCAAAATATGTATATTGTATATAAATGGTTGGGAGCTTACCATTCCAGTTGATCTCTTCACATCTGCCTTAAAAATGCTATGTAGGCTGAGCTTAGTAGCTCACACCTCTAATCCCAGCACTCTGAGAGGTGGAAGCAGACAGATTATCTGAGGTCAGGAGTTCGAGACCAGCCTGACCAACATGGAGAAATCCCATCTCTACTAAAAAAAAAAAAAAAAAAATGCTATGTAGAGATACATTAACAGAGTTATAATAAAAGATTTAATTAAACAGTGTTTTAAAATCTAACCTATAAACAAAAACTAGTTTGAGGCACCCAAGCATTTAATGAGAGATTGAGAATGATACTTAATGGATCAAAAAAGCACTTAGGAGTATGTTCCTGATTTTATTCTCTAAATTATACTCAATTTCATGGTAATTACATAAAGAAGTTACCTATAATTATTTTTAACACTACATGGAATTCCCTGGGTAATTGTGGGTCATTTATTTCGTGAAAGTTATGTGAAATCCTTAGCTGGTTGAATGTTGCATAGTACTTGAGAATTACAGTTTGAAGTGATTTCTGTGGGAGGGAATAATTACAATGTATACTCTAAATAAAGTCATCTAACTGTTAAAGAAAAAAAAAAAGAGATAGTCTTCCAAATCCTTCTTTTAAAAATCCACATTCATCCACAACTTATCCCTTTGCAGGAATTTGCCTAAATTCTCACCAAGTTTTGAATTCCTAAAATAGACCCAGATCTGGGATTTGAAGGCTCCCCCAGAAAAAGTTTATGGCCGAAGGAGTATCATAGAGGGTCTGCATATGACAGTACTTACAGATTAGATTTTTGGATGCTTTAACACAAAGATTTTTGTTATCTTTATTGGCCAAAAAACACTATTATTTTGTGGTTCTGGACCCTGGCTTCTATCTCCCTGTGATTTGTTTTAATGCTGAAATGACTTGGCTATCCAAAACTTCTAGTCTAGAGGTCTGTTGGTTGAAGGTAGAAGTTTCCAAGTTTGTCGAAATAATATGAAGCTGACTAGCTCACATGAATGATGTTGCCCTCATTTGTTCTGGGTGAGGACTCATTACTGCAGTATATTGATTCCTTCACCAAATGATTTTTCTTTTTCTCAATAAATGCTGTCTTAGAGGTTCTACTTATACATGATTTTTAAAACATCGATTTTCTTCTATCCACCAAATACTGTGAATTGTTTTTCCATTTACTTTTCTTAGCAAATGTAACTTTATTCTTGACTTTGTTTGGCCCTAGATTTTCTGTGGCATTCTGTAGGAGCATTGTATTGCTTGGGGGAAGAAAAAAAAAAAGATTAAAATCATTCTGAGGCAAAATGCTCTATTATCCTTATTTATGACAAGAGAATAATGAAATTAAAAATTGTATATTAAGGAATTAATAACATTCAGATATTGCTGTAAAATACTTGAGTCATTTTTATTTGGGGATAGTACTGAGTGTGGCAACTATAATGGAGAAACCTGTGTTGGCCTCTTCATGGCATTAGAATCTCTTGTCATAGAACTCTTGGTAAAGTACAAGTTTCATAGCAGAGCTCCTGAATTCAGCATATCAACAGGATTTCCATTTACCTTTTGTCTTTTTTTAATTGTATTTTTTAGCCTTTTTGTTTCTGTTCCTGCCTTCCATGAGTAGCATTGATTTTTCAGCTGAAGTTGGAATTTGTATTAAGAATTGACTTTAAATTTTGATATAGTTGAATATTAGAAATGGTTTCAATTGCCATGAAATGATTGCTTTTCTTTTCTTAAATAAAAATAATACAGCCTTATAAATGTCTGTTTCCCTCAAGAATGTGAATTTAGGCTGGGCGTAGTGACTCATGCCTGTAATCCCAGACCTTTGGGAAGCTGACACAGGAGGATTTCTTGAGCCCAGGAATTTGAGATCAGCCGGGCAACACAGCAAGACCTCATCTTTACTTTTAAAAAAAAAATTTTTTTTAGCCAGGTTTGGTGGTACATGCGAGTAGTCCCAGCTACTTGGGAGGCTGAGGTGGGAGGATCACTTGAACCCAGGAGTTTGAGGCTGCAGTGAGCTATGATTGCAATGCTGCATCTAGACTGGGCAACAGAACAGAGCAAGACCCTGTCTCAAAAAAAAAAAAAAAAAAAAAAACAGAATTTAGCTCCAGTTCCAAATGACTAACTCTTATGCCAGTCATAACCAGTGAAACCATCCAATGGTGGCTTTGGTAGTCCTTAACCTAAGGAGTCATTAGAGGTTAGAGTAAATTAGATTATCTAATAGTGCAGAGAGAAATGCCATTATGGGAAATGATCACTGTCTGCCTTTTTCGCTAAAGTTTTAGATTGTGAACTGGATCCTGCTTCACAGCTAAAAGACACAAAATGAAAGGGTAATTCTAGTTTATCTTCTTAATTGGAGTAAGATTTGCAATATGCTGTCTGCCCCAAACACTGCTGAGCTTGCTGGAAAACAGAAAAGTTTAACATGGTTGTTACCTGAAAGCTGTAGAGTCAACAACAAAAAAGGGGAAATGTGTTTGGTAGGGAATTGGACCAGTTCTAAGATATCACTTATAATTATAAAATAATGCCTTCCTTTTTATCTGCTTTTCAAAGTCTCAGTGAACTATTAAACATTTGTGTGCAGTGTCCTATTTTGCTTATCTAAGGCATTTTGACTTGGAAGTATTCAACTTCAGGAACGAGCTAGAGAAGAGAATGAGGGTATGTTAGAGAAGGAAAAATAGGAGCTTTTTGCTCATGGATTTTAGAGGTTCACAAATTGAAAGAAAAAAGAAAATCCTTCATTTCTAACCCTAAAATAATTTTGTTAATGAGGTGCTGGGAAGAAGACTATCAAAAGGGCTCAAAGCTCATGCTTCTAGAATAATCAGTAGTTCTGAATAGTCTTTGGGAAATAACATTTTTTGGTTAATTACCTTTCTTCCCTTCTCCCAAATAACTGTTTGAGAACTTAAAACAGAAAATTCAGTGTTAATGGGCTCTAGATCTTAAGCTAGGTGAGTAGTTTCTTACATACAGCCAATTTTCTTGATAAGGATCCAGCAGGAAAACCAGCAATAAAACATTTCAACATGAAATTTGGGGGTTCCCTT